CCTCCTCCTCCTCCTCCTCCTCCTCCACCACCACCACCTCTCTCTGCATCCAGTCCCTCCCTCCCAGACTCCCTCTGTCTGGACCTCTCTGCTTTTCTCCCACACAGGATCTGCAGAATAATGGAGTCACATCACACAGCAGCTCTCAGTGTTTTCAGCACAGCAGACATCACACTGGAGCTCATTTAAACCCGGGATGTATAATTTACTGTAAAGTTTTCTCTTCTTTTTTTGAATTCACAGCACAAGGACTTCTTTCATACGTTTTTCTGCGTCATGTATTTTTATGTCGTCTGACTTTTTCCGTGTTTTTATGTTTATCTGAGGGGGATTAACAGACCCACCATGGCCTCTCCTACATAAATCAACACCTTTTTCCCCTATAACTGCAGGCTTCTCTCTGTTTACCTATATCAAGGGATGGGAGGATCTCACTGGGTCTTGCAGAAGGCTGTAAGTAGATTTTGTGGAAGCGGGCATGGGCCAGTGTTGTGCTCCGTGCACAGATGGGTGTTGTGGAGGTAAAAGCAGCCTGGGATGAAGTGAGCAGCTCAGGTTTTTCTGTTTGCAGGCTGTGCGTCATGGGCTGAGCTCCTGCGATGACTCTTTTCTCCTGGAAGCTGTTTTGAATTATCCGAGGATGGACGACGGAGACGGATAAAGACTCCTAGGACAGACTCGAGTTAAAATATCTTCACCTTTTCATGCGGAAACTGCGCGCGCACTGGCACGGAGGCGCACCGGAGCTTTGGAGCGCACCAGACTGGAGCTGGAGCGTCAGATTTCCAGTCTCTCAATCTGAGGTTTTTACAGTGGAGTTTGGTTGTTAGGTGGTGATATTAAGTTTATAGATAGTTCTCTCCAAGAAGTGGATTTATGAAGACATTTCCCTTTAGATTTATTAAATTCAATGAGTCTAAATAATACACGACCATGCGTCTTTGTGTGCCTAGAGTTAAAATAGACGGTCGCGTGATTGAACATTGTTGCAGAATGACTTCAGCAAAATAAATGATGTGGTTTTAGTTGTTTTGACCAGGACACACTGTTAGAGTTGGATATTTGGTTTGGGGTTCATTGGTTTAACCCTCAGGTTTAAATGTTAAATCCTTTTACGCACGCTTCTATTCGTGTTTGGCTTTGAGGCTCCGCTCAGTTTCCCTCCACCCCAGTCACCCTCGTCTCCTCCGCCCGCTCACCGGACCATGTGGCTCCCGCGCCTCGCTCTGCTGCTGCTGCTCCGGTTCTCCGGTGTGTCGCCGGTGGACGGACTCAACACGTGTCAGACCATCAACCTGGACGCGCAGAAGTCGCGGCGCATCGAGGCCGTGCGCGGACAGATCCTCAGCAAGCTCCGCATCCGCAGCCCTCCGGACGAGGACGAGCAGCCGCCGCCGCGCCCGGTGCCACCGGAGGTCATGCTGCTGTACAACAGCACGCGGGAGCTGCTCAAGGAGCGCGCGCGCCTGGCCGAGTCCGCGTGCGAGCGCGAGAGCAGCGAGGAGGATTATTACGCCAAAGAGGTTCAGAGGATCGACATGTCTCCACATATTACTGACACAAGTGAGTCCCTGTGGGAGCGGTGGGAGGGTCTCAGTGTGTGGTCACAAAATGAACCTGGTAACTATATGATCCAAATGAAATGATATAAGAAATGATCCACAACCTTTAAGATTAAACCCTGAGGACAACCATTGCATGGCTATATAAATTCTATGAGGAGATGAAAGTATCCACTTGGTCACGAGCAAATATTGGAGGAATGTTGAAGACTCTTCCTAATTGTGTTTATCACCAACCTTCTTCTCATCATTCGAATCATCTCGTGACCCTCAGACACATGTTGGGACCACATTGGTGTCATGAGCCCCATGTTGGAAACCACTGACATTATTCTAGTCGTGATCATTTATCATTTTAATGAATCACATGATAGATTGAGGTGAATTAATCATAGACTTCACCTGCATCAGTCCTGCTGTGTTCAAAGTGTTCAGTGGGGACAGACTGTACTTAACTAAATAACTCAGTAAATATATACAGTATTTGTTTAGGAGTAAAAAAAACATGTTCAATATCTCCCTCATATAATGAAACAAAGAAACTGATTTGTTAAAAATGAAACTTGGCCATGCATAGGCATTAGATTAATATTGGCTCTTGGTCCATTCTGTAGAATGCACTATATTTCAAATGGTTAATATGTTTGATGACACTTCACTAAAAATCACCAATATTTAGCATTTAAACGCAGCTTATTTTGATACCTGGCTTTAACATGTTCTAATTTAATTGTAAGCAACAGTATGGACATTTTATCATTAATGTTGTTTGTCAACAATGTAGTTAATTTATACAAATTTTACTGAATTATCATTTGTTGTTGATTATTAATGTACTTCCAGTTAGAGTGTCCCCAGGCATTTCAGTTGTTGACACATATATGAATGAAATGTATACAACTACACAATAGTGTATTATGAACATGCATGTATGTGATGTTTATGAATGCTAAATAGGGAAACTAAAAAAAAGTCAAACTGTAGTGGTGTAAAAACTATATAATTTCATTTTGAAAATGGTAATTTTAAAATAAAGTACCACTATTTTAGAAGTTTATGTAATTACAGTATTTTTATATGTGGCTGTCATTGCCTCATCAAACAGGAGTGATAGTGGAGCTGCATCCCTAACAGAAGGGTGGGTGTTTGGAACAATGAGTGATGGGTGGAGAAATGAAGTTATAATGTATTAGCGTGCCCCAGACCTGCAACAGTTCAACCTCTAAATTCAGACTGTGTAAGTGACAGCTGATGTTTCATACAGTAAAACCCGTGTATCCAACAGATGCCCATGTATTAAACATAAGAACAGACACATTTACTCACAAGGCTTAAACATATCATTTACTTTGAAGACGCTCATCAGCAGCAATTATGTCTGAGACAATGCATCAGTACCTCAGCTCTGTTTTAACCAATAGCCCTAATACAACATTGTTTTAGAAGTTGCGTGATGTTGTTGGAGCTTCAGTCATCCGTGTGTTTTCTTTTTTTTACCGTGCAGACGCAGTGCAGCCAGTAGCACCCAGCCCCCACCACAGAGTCGTCCACTTCGATGTCAGTGGAGTCGACCTGACCAACAGCACCCTGGTTATGGCTGAGTTCAGGATCTTCAGAGCTCCCAACCCGCAGGCCCGGGCCTCAGAGCAGAGAGTGGAGATTTATCAGGTAAAGAGCAGTGAGTCATCACAGAGCACGACCATGAGGCACCAGCATGAATATCAGTTAGAGAGAGAGACATTTTTTAAGCTTTCACATCCAAATAAACCCCTTTTCTTTCTAATGGAGCAGATTCTAAAGCACGCAGAGGAATCAGGTGTAAGTGTATACTGTATAGGAATATGTTTGTATAAGTATGTATGTATCAAACCACAGAGAAATCTTTCCCACTCTTTCTCTATGTAAAATAATGTTCATGTGCGTGATACCATTTAAATTGTCTTTTAGATTTTCAGCTTCAAGCCAACAAGACTATTATGATAATAAATCTTTGTCAGTTAAGATGAATTTACATGTTGGCTTGAAGGAGACACTTTACACCTCTCAGAGAAAAATGTTGGCCCCAGGATGTCTGATTAACGTTCTGCAGGTTATTATGGGTTTTTATAATGACACAATGTTATGATCTAAGCTTTTCATGTGTTATATAAAATGTATGGAGGATAAACTCACTGCCCCCTGAACCACAGTGGAAACCATGATATCTCCTGTCAGGAGGAGGAGAAGATGTTCTTTACATCAGCTCCATCACTGTCTTCTGTTTTCTGTGTCAGCTGCTGAAGCCAGACGAGGAGAGCACCTCCACTCAACGTTACATCGACTCCCGCACCGTTCAGCCGAGGGCAAAGGGATCCTGGATCTCTGTGGACGTCACAGAGACCGTTAAGGACTGGTTGTCAGATTCAGGTCAGCCTCAGCACCAGGAATCTGTTTCCCATAATGATCCATATAAGCTATGGTTGTATATTTCATCATCCTGCCTATTCTTCTTGCTTCAGAGAACAATCTTGGCCTGAAGCTGGGCGTCCATTGTCCCTGCTGCACCTTCGTCCCATCCACCAACAACATCGTTCCCAACAAGAGTGAGGAGCTGGAGGCCCTGTTTGCAGGTTTGTTGCAGTCTAACTTACATGTGTATATTTTTATTTCTGTATGATGCCGATGCATTTGGTCCATCCCTTTGGATTACAAAGCATTACTTACTGCACATCTATATAGTGTTAATGACCACTCCATAGCTGTGGCATTCATCCTTTCACACACACATTCATACATCTATGTGCAGCCCTTTCTCTATCACACTTCAATCACACACTAGTAGCACACACAGTCATCAGGGGCAAGTTGGGGTTTAGTATTTTGCCCAAGGACACTTTGCACGCAGATTCATGGAGAGTGGAATCAAACCGCTGACCCTCTGATTAGTGGACGACCCGCTCTATCTCCTGAGCCACAGCCACCTCTGATTTACAAAGATACACATCCTCCTCAAGTATTATATATACAAAATATTTTGTAATAAGAAAAGCAAAAGTGAAAACACATGGCATTTGCCAAATCTTGGTTTACTGTTCATGTATAGTAAATGATTCAAGTGGTTTTCTGTGGCTTGGATTACCCCCCCAGCGACAATAAATCTTAAAGTGCACTTACATTTTTAGCTTGAGGGAAGATTTTGACACCACTCAAACCAGGAGAGCGAGTTCACTGGGTTTCACTAAGAAGCTGTTTGACGTCACAGAGACATTTAACATCAGAAGGAAGACTTGAGATTTAAATCTTTCCTGTCTGAAGAGGTTGTTTGTTTCCAGATGTCTGGTCAACAAAGATCAGCCGTTAAACTGAACACGACACAAAAACAAATGAATCAATAAACATGACAGGCAGTGAGCCACAACACTGACACTGCAGTATCGATCAGACAGAAGGTCACAGACGGTCTCATCCCAGCAGCCCTGAAGATGAGAAATGTGTCTTTCACAGGTTCGGTTGTAAATGGCTTTGTTAGGACATTAAAAGCACTTGTTGAAGATTTATCTGCACATTAATAATCCTTCAGGTCACAGAATGTGAAGATAAAGTGCACATTCATCTGGAAGACGCCTCGAGTGAGTCACTCGTAGAAAAGGAATCAAAGAGAAACCTCTCTTCTACACACTGTGACACTACAGAATACCAGACTGTCTGCCTTTCTTCATTTAGGCCCCAAATTATGGCACTTTTCTCTGGATTTGAACTCAGCTGAGTCAAGTCAGGGTTTTTTTCCACACCTAAGTTTTAATACAGTTACACAAGCAAGAGCTTGTTTTGAGCTCAGGTACAAACAGTCAGCCCCTCGCTCCTGGCCTCGGAAACAACATCATGTTCTAATCCATGCATTGAAATATTTTGTCAAAATGTTATTTGTAGAATCTGGGAGTTTGTGGTTATGACTGTATATGAAGTGCTTCTTTTTCCATGCATTCAAATTATGCAAACCACAGGAATTCAAAAATACAAACCATGCTATTAATACACTGGCTCCAAATCAGACAGCATTGTCACAGGTTGCATGAATCAGTTGAACTAATGATTGATGTTGTCTCCGTTTCATGTGAATAGTTTAAAGTCCTGCAGTCAACATTTTAATCAATTCATTGGATATCTTTGTATAATTAATCTCAATCTGCAGTGGAAATTGTTATCAAATATCTGGAAGTAATGATATATTATTTCTGAGATGTGGTAATGTAAAGTATTATCAGAGAAATATTGGAGTAAAGTACCTCTACTTCAGTGCATTACTTGAATTATGCTGTAACTCTCCACCCTGTTTTCTGTAGGTGTTGACGACGAGCAGCTTCGTCAGTTCAGAAAACCCGGTCAGGTCAAAGGTCAGGCGGATTTCAGCTCCAAGACGCCACACCTCATCCTCACCCTGCTGCCCAGCGACAGAGTCGACAACCCGACCAAGAAGAACCGCAAGAAGAGGGCGGCTGCCACAGACACCACAACCTGCTCCCGGTAGGCCGCCAGGCAGCTACTTGTGTGTGGTTGTGACTGACAGCACTGACACTGTTTCCAAGATTCGTAGTTATATAATTCTGAGATCTGGATTTCAGTTTTTTCCTCAGATTATTGTGGGGCAGCAGTAACAATGCTGACCCTGTGTTTAGACTGCAGGCCAGCAGGCATGCAGTGTTTTATTTAGTCTACCTCACACTGCAGGGGAAAACTCTGGCAACACTGCACACTCATTACCTTGTGTTGGCTGCTTCTTCAATGGTGACCCACGGTCATTTTCCCATGACCCAACCTTGGGCCCTTGCCCCAGACGTTGAAAAGCAGGATTGGAGCTGAAATGTGTTTGTGTGTCTGTCTGTGTGTCTCAGTGGCTCAGACCAGGGCTGCTGTTTGCGCTCGCTCTACATCGACTTCAGGCGTGACCTGAACTGGAAGTGGATCCATGAGCCCAAAGGTTACAAAGCGAACTTCTGTGCCGGAAACTGTCCTTATCTTTGGAGTGCCAACAACCACTACAACATGGTGAGTGGGCATTTATATATAATCAGACCTGAACATTCATTTCTTATAGAGACTGAAACATGTCTGTAGTACCCAGTATAAGTTCATGGCACTTAATGCCTAATTAGTAACTTGGCTAATTAATTTCTTATGGTTTATTTCACGCTTTGTTTCCTTTTATTAAATGGAGAAAGGTGCTATGAAGAAAAAGATCATTTTAAAAGCGGTAGTTTTGTTTATTTTGTTTCTTACCAAAAGTTAAATTAGAAGATTGAAACTACTGTCATACCTGTTTGCCTCAGTAAGAATTCAGAGTCAGGGAACGATTAGCTTAGCTTAGCAAAAAGCCTGGCATCTCTAAATTCACTAATTAACATAACATAATTATGTCATGTTTGTCTTCCTGTGTCTGTCTGAGAAATAGCTTCAGTAAACATCGCTCCATGATACCACAACCTGTTTTTGTAGGAGTGAAACAAACAAGGCTTTTTCTTAAATGCTGAACTATTCCTTTAAAGTGATGTAGAGAAAAAAGTCAAAACTCTTATTCAGACATTCTTATCCAGCCCTGTACTTTATGACCTGGTTCAGGCACAAATATGTTCTTATGTTTGTTAATTTAGTATCCGGCTCGCCGCTGAGAAACACAACATCACAAAAATGTATAAATAAACTAAACCAACAAAAACACGTGCAAAATTATATTTAGCTTGATAATTTGGATGGACACAGAGACAGAGACACAATCAAACGTATAAACAGAAATCCTCCGCTTCAAACAAAAACAACTTCTGAAACGTCAGAATAATCGACGTAGCTCCTCAAGCTCTGTGGTGGAAATACCGCGGTTTGGCCCAAACTGAAGTTCAGACTGTAATGTACAGAATCTTAAACTGTGGCAGACGTTTGCTCTTAAATGAGCTTCGTAGGGATTGTTTGTCGTAGTGAAACACCATGGTTAACCCTGCCGTCGTAAGTGGGCTGTCACCTCGAAGACGCCTGCAGCTGAACATAAAGTGTTACACAACATGGCCTGTTTGTCTTGTAGCTCATTGGCCTGAAATCATTCTGGTTTATTCATATTTATCTGACACTTCAGCTTGCTGCAGAAAGGCCACTGTGACTTTTCCCGACTTTGATGTTAACATACATGTTGAAGTTTGTGAAAAAGAAATATGAAAACAAACTGTCATACAAGGGTCAGTGGTTATAACGCCACTGGTTTAACTTGATTTCGCCGTTATTGGTGAACGGGTTTTAGTATTTTTATCATTATTACGCAAAATGTTTGGAGGAAACATTCCTGGGCGTTTCATGGAGAGGTCAACTCAGGACTGTGTTTGTGTGGTTTGATCAAAGACAGAGTCATTTTAGGAAACAGGTTTATTTATTGACTGAGTTAAAAAACAAGATCTGAACAGTGAATATGAGGCTGAACCACCAGCAGCTGGTTAGCCTGGCTTAGCACAAAAACACAAATCATGTGAAACTGGCGCAGGGCATCTATCCACTAAGGCCCAATCTACTTAAAGAAATGATGACCAGAAACATGCATGAGTTTACCATCAAGATCCAATGATGAATCATGCATTGAGAAAAAACCCTATCTCACAATCTTAAAGAAAGTGATATGAAATTCCTGGATTTACCTCCTGAACATTTGAGGTCCAGTGTGTAAGATTTAGGTGAAAGGGAACTATTGGCAGAAATTTAATGCAGAATAATCCTCATGATGTTTTCACTAGTTCATTTCATCTAAATTGTATAAATTGTAGTTTTTCTTTACCCCAGAAAATGTCCTTTATATTTAAATACTTTATATTTACATCGAGAGGACCCTCTCTACGGAGGCCGCCATATTTTTTTACATTACTAAACACCTTTTGAGTTTTTATGGCAATTAAAGGCTACCACAGGTTCTTTTTCATGTTTGGAATGAGAGGATGAGGTGAGGGGTGTTCAGCTGCAACATGCAACTTCAACACTAGATATCACAACACTCTACACACTGTACCTTTAATGTGTTCCTCCCTGACCCATAACACATCCCTCCACCAAGTTTCGCAATAATTTGTCCTGTAGTTTTTGCCTGATCCTGCTTACAAGCAGACAATGGTGAAAACATAAAAGTTGTATTATGAGGCGAAAAATATGTGTCCAGGTCCTTTAACTGTCCTTTATCTTTCTGTCCCCTCCTCAGATCCTGCCCCTGTACAACAAGCTGAACCCTGAGGCCTCCGCCTCGCCCTGCTGCGTCCCTCAGGACCTGGAGCCGCTCACCATCATGTACTTCATCGGCCGCACACCTCGTGTTGAGCAACTCTCCAACATGGTCGTCAAGTCCTGCAAGTGCCGCTGAGGGAGGAGAGTTCAAAAATAGAGGTCGGGGGGGGGGGCAGAGAGTATAGGAATGATTACTGGACAAAACTAAACAAACTGCTTCGCTCGGGGGGAGAATAACAGACGAGGACAGACGGATGGATCCTGTGTTCATTAATCTAGTTTGATCGATTTTAGACTCTTCCGCTGTTGTTTTTTTTTTTTTTTTTTCCAAATATCAGGATTTTTTTCTCCTTTTCTTTTCAAGCTTGAGAAAGTATCAGATGATTTTTCTTGATTTTCAGGAACTTTCCATCTGATATAGGACACTGTAAATATGACACATAGCTGCATTAAACCTGTATTTGGACATCAAAAACAGGCTGTGTGTGATTTGGCCACATTTGCTGCTGCATAAGAAGGATTCTTTTCATCAGGATTTTGATTCCACCTCGGTTGTGTTGCTGCGGCCGTGGGCAGCCAGACGTGTGCTTATTTGCTTTAGGTTTCAAGGTGTTGATTGGGAGGAGGCGTCGTGGAAAGGTTTTGCAGACGGAGATCTTTAGGAGCGAGGGAGGCAGGCATCAGATAGAAAAGAGAGAGAGGAGCTGTGTCCAGGCAGAGGCCCTGCCAGCCCTTTGCGGTCCCGGGCTGAAATCTGCCCGGCGTAAACAGGATGTGAAAGGTTTCCAGACACCGAGCCGACCACTCACGGAACGCTACATTTAAATGCTCCCCTCATCTTCTCTGTCTCTCACTCCCTCTCTCTCTCGCTGCTGCTCGAGGTTCTGGGATTTGTGGTGGGAGGAGAGACAGAGAAAAGAGAGGCTTTGAAAATGAGACGTGGGATGATAGGGCTGCATTTGGAATGGCTACAAGTTTGGAAGGTGGTATTTTGCAGCCTTAGCAAATTTGTAACTGTTTGGGTCAGGCTCAAAAATTCTGTAATCACACACTTTGCTCATTTTCTGAATGTATGTTTATTATCTTATTGTAAAAAGCTGTTGACTCGTCACTCCTTTGCTATAATTATAATCTGTCATACCTATGTTTATCATCAGTCTCACTGATACACACACACACACACACACACACACACACACACACACACCCAAGTATCCACATTAACCACTTTTGATAGAATGTCTAAATGCTGAAAATAAAAAACATCCCCAGGGCTCATTTTAAATATAGACCCTCTGGTATGCAAGTGGTTTGTGTGCGCGTGTGTACAGTATGTGTATTTGAGTCTGTGTGTGTGTGTGTGTGTGTGTGTGTGTGTGTGGCTGGTGAGGTCATGCATGATAGCACACAAAATAACCCCTGTATTTTATTGTGTTGTGTGTGAAAAACATCTGTCAGCTGATGTTACCCTGCTGAAAGTGAGATCTAGGTATTTTAAATCTAGA